CCATTTATTTTTAAGGCTTGTATATTTTGCTTCAGGTTGCTTTGATTTGTTTCGTTTTTTATTACTGACCATGTAGCTTTACATTTATTTTTATGCGTATTAATATAGTTTATGTTTGTTTGTTTTTTAGAGTTTAGTATACAAATCTTTAGTAATTTAGAGTATTTATTATATTTAAGTTTGTTAGTTAGGTTTTTATTGTTATAATATTGAAAGCGTAGTTTACGTTTAGTTTTGCAACTTTGTCGTAAACCTTTACTTATCCACTTTTGTACATTTGTTTTATTGGTGTTAATTTTCACTCTAATTTTGGGAAAGCAAAGATTGTACATAAGACAAAACAACTCGTGAAATTTGTTAAAAGCGGAATTAGGATCACTATCTAGATATACGTCACACCATGAAAGATTATGTAGACATTCTTTAAATTTAAGTATATGGTTTATGTTATAGTCCCTTTTATAAATATAGTAAGTATCTGATTTTGTTAATATGTGTTTTGTAGGAAAGCTTAACATCTGTGCAGTATCATGATCTGATAGATATAAGGGTAATACTGTTGCATTTGCGTTGTCAATGTTGCTTAAGATGTGATCAATACATGAAGATTTACGAGTTGGGACGTCAATATGTATTTTTAAATTGTAATTATTAGATAAATCTAGGAATTCATTTGTAATGTTGCCTTTTTTTAACGTATTTATATTAGTATCACCAGCAATAACAATATTAACCCTAGCGTTGTATTTATTTTGTAAAGCTTGTAACAGATTACGAAGTTTTGTTAGAAATTGTATTGGATCAGATTGAGGAGTTCTGTAAACGCATATAATTATCAACTTTTTATGTAGAATTATTTCTACGCCGCAAGCTTCGAAAATATTTTGTGTGGCACCTAGTTTTATAGATGATAATTCCTTGTACTGTATCCCTTTTTTTACCAATATACAAGTGCCACCTCTTTGTTTATCTCTACAGAAGTTACTAGCCATTTCATAATTGTGTATTTTGACGTAATTTTCAGTACCCTTTTTTATGAAGGTTTCAGATAGGCATATAACGTCTGGATCATTATTCTCATCTTTTAAATCCTGAACAGTAATATCTAAAAGTTCTTGTTTTGATAATATGCTGGCAATATTTTGGTGGAAAATCTTAAAATGATTGTTTTTTATAGGTTTAGGTACGAAAAAATGGGTTACTCTTATTTACTACAGGAAAATAACAGGGTATTGTTCCTTTTTGGTTCTTAGTAGTAGGTTGTTTTACGGGACTACATTTCAAAATAGTCGAATGTTCTAAGACGCGGAAATAATAAGGAATAGTTCCTTTTTTAATCTGGCTTGTGCCAGTGTTTAATTTTAGACTTGGTTTGTTACTATTAGCACATATTATGTCTTTAATTTTAGTAGGGTTTAGATATTTATCATTATAATCGTTGCAATCTATAAGATAATTCAACCTTTTACAAATATCGGGTAGATTAATACATTTTTCATATACAAACCTACATTGTTTATATTGATGACATAAATTTTTAATTGAAAAATTTAATTTGTCAGTGTTTAAATGTATGTTTTTTAGGACATTGAGGACATATATACTGTTATTTTTGAACTTATCTAATATTATGTGTAATTGAGAGAGAATTAATTTTGGGTTACAATCATTTTCACCTAAACAAATTACAAGTTTATCATTAGAATTTAACTTAAGATTATCACAACTAGTTACTATTTCGTTACACAATGCATTAGGCTTTGTTTCGCCTACAACTCTGTATCTCTCATACTGCGTAGACGTACGAGAGTGTGACATTGCAGCAGCAAGCCCGACACAGCGCTGAGTACCGACAATAAATATGGTCTTGTCGGAGGTAACATTTCGTTGGTCATTAGTATTCACCGAGTGCTGTTGTAGTTTACGAGTAGAAGTATCACAATTACGAATTGTGTGATTCCATTGTGCTACTAAGCCGATACGATTTGTGAGAGCAGCAATCTCCTTCTGGGCGGCCTCCAGTTGCTGTTGCAGGGTTGTAATATTCAATTTCAAAATTGATATTATTTCGTTGTCGTTCGTTTTGGTGCTGTTTAGTAATGATGATGGAGAAGCCGGAGTAGCCGGAGTTGAACACATGTTTTGCTGTGGGAAAACATGCTTCTTCTTATTGTTGCTGCTTATACCAGGACTTTCATGTAAGGAGGGAGAATGGCATAAGGATTTTAATGTAGTAATTTCTATAGTTAGTTTGTTTATTTGTTTATGCAGCTCACTGTTTTCTAACGAAATAGTTTCTAGTTCTTTTTCCGTACTATGAAGTTTACTTGTGAGCTGATTTACTGTCTCCTTCATATCAGAGATTGATACTAAATCTGAGATTGTCCCGTCGGGGTCTACACTTCTCGATAGTTTGTTAGGAGTATTATAGGACTCATCTGATGTTTCACAGTCGGTGAGCACATGTGAGTCAAGCAATGATGGAGCCAGTCTTTTTGGTGCTGATGGTGGTCGCACCTTTGTATTAGGTTCGGTTGGCGAAGTAATTTTTAACGTCGGCTTCTTACGTAAGGTCATATTGGTTGTACAGACACCTCCTGCTTCAGGTTTACCATGTTTCTGGTTTCGTACGCAAGCCGTACATCTCCACTTTTTCTTACCTTCAGCGTCTTTAAGCTTATAGGTTGATTCGGGGTAACCATCACAATTTAGTTCATATCGATTATGGCAGGCAGAACACAATGCAGTATTCTTCACATTCACCATCTTTTTACATTTGTGACATCGTACTAGTGACGCCATCTCTTGGTCGTTTTTGTAATATTTTACTTAGCTTTATTTCCACAAACTCAGATGTAACGTGTTCCAGTGATTACTATTTATGAAGAAACAATACTAATACTGTTCAAATAAATTATTTAAAAAAACGTACAAAAAGAGCAGGTCCTCGCTGAGATTCGATCCCACGCCATCCCGTCCTATGACCAAAAATGCTTGAAACGCGCGTCCAGCCATTCGTACTAATGGAACTTTGACGAAATTAGTGGTTGGTTTATAGAGTTCTTGTTTGCAAATTAAAATAGAAGGTCAATACACTTTTGTTTGTTTATTTTCAATTTATGGCGGTTAATCTTGGTTCACTTGCACTTTTACACTTGTTATTTTACAACTGTTGTTACTTATAGTTAGCAAGTTATAATTTGAATTATTAATTATTAACTACTTTAGGTAAATTTAAAGAGAAGGTCAATGTCCTATTTGTTTATGTTTTGGCGGTTGAATTGTTTTTTAAATTCACAATGATGCACTTTTCCACTCATTATAATTATTTAAAATTGATATTAGAACACTATTCTTGTTGTAACTTGGATACAAGAGTATTTCGTATTGTTTTAGGCACTATTTAACGTTTATTGTTTTACACACTTAAGTTTATACCTACACAAATGATTCGAAGTTTATTAACTTTAAGGGCGGCTTTTTGAAACACAAGTTTATTTTGTTGTAACTGCAATGTTAGTGTATTAAACTGTTGGATAACACTTGTACTTACTTATTACTTAGTAATTGACCGATACTGTTAGTTTTATTCACTTTTTAGCACTTTTAATATTTTTACGAGTACATTAAATACGGCGCGTTTATTTTTGCGTTAGGCTCGGTGCAGCGCCAATGCTTTCATTCCCAAATTATTTCCCAAAGGCTAAATTATTTCCCAAAGGCTAACCGAGAAATAAGGCTAGTGTGCTTCAACTAGGTAAGTGACATTTATATACTTAATCAAAGGGTTTCTATTCAATGTAGCCAGTCTCCTAGTTATTATTGAAAAATATGTAATCAAATATATGAAAAACTACATAATTAATTACCTGGCCTGGCTACAGGAACTGTATGTCGGTGTTGTTCGGTACGCATAAAACATACGAAAAAATGTAGGTACAAGCATCAGGTAGGTTATGATTATGAAGACCTAAAGCATTATGCTGCGTTGATGCTGATCACCCTGTTGTGCTACTAGCCTTTATTATAATATGGAGCTACCTACTTAAAATTGCCATGCACTTTATTACATTATGTAGGTAGGTACCTATAATCAAACAGTTACTATGTAGGTACTCACAGATACGCCAGGGTAAATTGATTGCGTACACATTTGCACGCTTGTATAAATCATTTGACTTGGATGTTGCCTTGGCGTGTGGTTTATTTTTAGAAATTAACATCACTGCAACCATTACGACGGAAAGTCAGACAGAAATGTGAAACGTGATTAAATATGACGCCAGTGATCCGGAACCAACGGGGTCAATTCAATACATAATATTATAATGCGAGTTATCATCGATGTTTTTAGAAATGTTAATGCATTTTTCAAGTTAGTCCCGAGTGAATATGTTGTTTATGGACAGGCGTGCTGGTGCTCCAGGCCGCCGCTTCACTGCCTGCACCAGGCGAGATGATGGCAAAAAACCGTCCCATTATCACCAGTAAAAAACCCCAGGAGAAAAAAAAATATGTGGGCTATAAAATGAATAGAGATTCCTATTCATATTATTAAATTAATAGAATAGATTAATTAATTATTTTTTTTTAAGTTTAATCAGCATATTGGGGAACGCCTGTGTTCATTAGTGACGTCTACTTCTTGGCATTGTGGCTGGTACGATGTTTGAATTAATTAATCTGAATTTCCTTATTTGTCTTATTAAATGCGATATTTGATGGCATTTACTTTCATAGACGGTCCGCCATGGCCACGTGTTTAACCCATAGATGTTTTATCATATGAGTGGTTTAACTATAGTAAATGTATGAAACCGCCACGGTAATATATTTCTGCCTTTATATTCTTAGTAGTGTTGTGACATGCGGGTAGTTTTCAAATTATAATTGCCATAAAATCTAAATTTTACCTACATATACCAACTGCACTAGATAGTTTAGTCTATTTACTAAATTTAACTTTACCTGCTGTATCGTGTTGTGCGTAACGATATTTAATTCTACTTATCAAAATGATGTCCAATTACCAACTTGTACAACACTTACTCGATGAAGAGGAAGATGATGACATTTGTGAGGTATTTAGATATATTTTATTTCATACAATATAACGTGTAATAATAATATTATGAAACAAAGTCATTCGACTGATACTAAAGTTCTGATAAATTATCTTATTATTCGCAATGTTACTTATAATTTTAATTAAATAAGAATTGTATGTAAAATGACAGTATAGTATAGATAAAGTAACAACACTTCTCAGTATTAGTTACCTACAGTGCTGCCAAAATTTAAGGCATTTATAAAAAAAAAAGTTACCGAAATAGCTACATATTTCAAATTATAATATTTTTAATAGTTATCAGATTGTTTTTAAACAATACATTATTATTTTATTTCTTAATAATAATAGATAAGTTTAAACGCAAGCTAAACATCCAAATAACTAATTATATAATAATAACCTGTTAGGCCTAAAAAAAACCTGTTAGGCCGTTACCTAATAGGCTATATAGTTTACCTACGTGATGCACATCACTAAACAATCGAACAAAAAATAATAGTTTGGAAAATGGTCACTGTGCGGCGTTGGAGATCAGATAGGTACTTAGGTACTTTAATTTTACATGGCGCTGACAGGCAAGGGGTAAAATATTTGACTGCACTTTGCACGATTGGCTCAATGGCCAAAGTATCGGCTGCCGCGCAACATGTGGCTGGTTCGATTCCCGCACGGAGACGGAGTAACTGTGTGATTCATTAAATTATTGTTCCAGGTTTATGTGTCGTGTGTTTGTGAAATCGAAAAGGTGTACCTCAATAGTCTGTACCTAATAGTGTCATTTTTTTAAATGAGTAAGATATCCAGCTTGTATGCGTGATGTTCTGTGGCCGGATAGATTTCCATAAAAGGACATAGCATTATCGTTATGTAGGTGTCAAACTCAGTAAATACCGCCTACATAGCACTGCTGGACCAGATTATCTTATCGCGAGCAAAAAGTTTAGCTCAACTGGAAATAATTAATTGTAGGAACACTAATTTAAATGATTTTTTGTTAACCAATTAGTGTAAATGCGGCCTTTTGTAATTAGTCAACTTATTTGCCGATTAAGTGACGACTGTATTCCAAACTGCATAGAGTTCAATTTACATCTGCCACTGTTTGCTAAAGAGTTAAATGTTTTATTCTCTACCTATTCTGGCAGTACCTAAGCAAAAGGATAACAGAGAATCTATAGGGTCGCTACATCATATTTTGTATGTATGTAGGTATTTGAAAGCTCAATAAAGCACGTTATTAAATGTAGGGAGGTAATTAATTAATGACTAACATCTCTGCATTAAGACCTTTTCGGGTATAAACTACGAGCGATTATTAATCTATTGATTTGTTATGGCCTTGTTACATTTGTGGAATCTGCAGGTTAGTGCTTAAGTAAACGAAGTTCTTTTGCGCACGTGATACAATGCAACGACCCACGGTCGCCCACGGAACCATTGAGTACGAATTTATAAACGTAGCGCCACCTATGATCACTAATGAGAAGTATATTTTATTAATCATTAGTGGTCAAACTGAAGGATAGCCTGGCCACTTGTTGCACCATAATTGACAGAGGAAAAATATTTTCCTTTACAATGGAATAAATAAAGTCAAATTTTCCTGTTCTAGTAAGAATCCTAGAAATGTAGAAACTTAACATCAGAATTATCAGAAAATTATGTATTGTTGATTTGATAGACTAGGTGGCTATACTGCTTTCATGAGATACATATTATGATAGATTTGTTTCTAAAATACAATTTAACAGTACCTATATGTAGTACTATTTAATGACAGAAAGGAATGCTCCTGTTTTCCCCTTTACCCAATTGAGTCAATTGTACAACAATTATTATAATTGTGGCGCTAGTGCATAAAGTGTGTGACACATGAACACAAAAACATTTGAGGCCATAAAATGACTGTTATGTGAATCACTGGCTCCTTATCTACATCTACAATGTAGATAACAATTTTAAGCATTCACTTTTGATAAGACAACACACCAAGTACTAAATCCTTGTCTGTGGAACAACAAAAATCACACAATATTGAAGAAATACATATATTTATTATTTCTTACAGAATACAAAACAACTAAGATTATGATATTACATACACTTTGCTTACAACATCAAACTAGTTTGTATCAAGACCCATTAGTAACTGGACCTAAGATGCTGTGTAATGTAAGCGCAAAGTTGGTCCCAACTGCCTTTAAAATTAGTAATCTTGAAAATGCATAAACATATTGATAACTAAATAATAAAAATCAATACCAACTTACAAATGTGCTAATTACATATTAAGATAAATTAAAAACTAAATGTTTTGTGCAGTAAGTAGCACTTTAATTCACATTATGCGAACATGGAAATTAATTAATCTTTAACTTACAGCATAATTAGTGATCAAACAAAAAGCATAATGTGAAACAAGTTTTTGTTGTTTATACAAACACTGGCTTCCAATAACATATTTATCTAACTTAATACATATTACAATATATTAATTTTGCAAGTGATTACATAGGGTTCCCCCTCTTTAAGCAAAGTACAATCACATTTAAGTTGTGTAGTTAAATATCAGTTCGCTGTGTCAACTGTTCATCAAACCAGCTGTTGCAGTGTGCCCGAGACTACAGGCTTTAGAATATTAACAATCTTTATATTAATACTACTTATCACAAAGTGAATCTGTACAAAAGTTGGCCACTTTATAAATTACATATACATTTATATTTATAACTGTTGTATACATTACAAAAATTGTGCAAAAGCAGCACTTGATAGTTAAAATTTCTATTCCTCTTTTTAGAAGTATAACAATTTGTAAACAAGTCTTATATGAGTGAATTTGATCCACTTAAACGGTATCAACAGTTAGGTACTATTTTAATACAATTTATAGAAAAATATCAAAACATTTACCAAGATGTATATCTTACAATAGAAATATGTGTGCGCTGGTTAATCGTTGAATATACAAAATATAGATTTCATACATACTGTTCAGTCGCATTTCGTTTGTCTAAACTTGCGTTATTTTATAAAGAGCAGCATAAATGTTTCCATATCAAAGTATTAAAGATAATTTAGATGACTATCGTCCAGAGTTGGCTGGAGTTTCAGTGACAGCAGGCGGGGCGGGAGCGGGGCTAGAGCCGCCGCCAGACCCGGATGTTGCCCACACAATGATTATGATAAGTAGAACTGCCCCGATAGCTCCGATAATTAGCATCATTTTCAGATTCTGCCACCAATACTTTCGTTTCAGTTTTCCAGCCTGTTGCTCAAACTGCGCTGCCCCGTGCTGTAAAGCATCAGCTCGGTTGTCTAGTTCTGACAACTTTTGGTCCCTCTCCAATACTTTCTCGACATTAACGCGCATAATGCCAACCACTTCATCGACTTTGGCTTGAGTTTGAGCCAAACGTTTGTCGCTTACTCTAGGTCCGGAGCTTCCACTTTGGTCTTCCATTTTTTACCGTGTTGATAAACTTCACTCAAATGCCACAAATTGAAAGTTTCTACACTTTTTGCGACTATATAAAAAGCAGAAATCTAGGATTCTGATTATGTTCAATATAAATATGGCGAAGGCACGGCTAGCGAATTAAAATTCTGGATTTTCACGAATGACAGAAGAACAATCAACAGCGTGACACATTCATGACGTCATATTGCGATTACGTACCCAAATCAATTTAATACTTTTTCACCAATCAGATATCGCTCTCGATTTACACAATCCTCTTGATTGGTCCTAAGTGCACGTCTATTAGTCTATGAAAAAAAAATGTTTCTTGCTTTATGGACCTAGGAAAGTTACATTTAAGTTACATTTCGGTATTCTATTCACTATCCAACATAAAACGGCAGAATTTTTTTTTTTTTTCAAGGTTAATTTAATAATGTAGTTTCTCTTAATCCTGCTCCTTGATAAAAGAAAATATTTGAGTCACACGTACTAAAATTATATTACCTTGTATTTTATGCACGTCTCGTTTCTCTCGTTTAGATAATATTTTTATTAGAAACTAATTTTCCCCTGACATAAAATATAGATAGAATTGGCACGGAGCGTTGGAAATTTGGGGACACTGAGAATTTGTTTGTATATATTTTTAATAAACAAATTAATTTATTTAATTCCACTTCTGTATATTATTATGTATATAAAATATACAATGACGGACTTAGGTGACTTGCTTAGGTGACTATTTAAGTTTTATGTATTTCCGGTTTCATGTTCGTGATTAACTACCGGATTCATTTAAAAGCATTTAACTATATCATAACATTGAAAATCTATTCATACATGATAACCCTGAACGCTATGACTATTTTACAAGCTTTAAATTAGTTTTTTTAAAGATAAAACCAATGACGTTGAAAAACGGCGTACATAGATTTTTGAAACAACTACTGTGACATCTGATTACTATAGAATTACTACAGACTGATTAATACACACACATTGTTAGGAAGGGCATATTCTGTTGCGTGATATGGCCTATCATTACACTTCATACATTACGATGTTGCAAGTAAATGTACACTTTAATGTACCAATAACATTTTGGTGTTTCAATCATTTCTAAGTGACATTATTGTCCAGCTTTTTTCAACTTCCTTGGATAAAACTATCCAAACTGCAAAACTAATCAACACTAGATTCTTTGTCCACAATGATCGATGAATGCAACCACAACAGCACAAAACGCCGGGTGAGCTCTGCGCGAAAGTTCTCGGAAGTGCTGCAGAGTGATCGATATCCAGTAGGGCCATTAATAGAAATCCTATCTTGTTAGTGATAATGTTGCTACATTTTAAAATAAACTAAAATTTATAATGGCAACATAGCAAGACGTGCTTGCTTTTTGTTCTGTCAGTTTTTGCCTGTAGAAGTGTAGATTTCTGGGATTATTTTAGCCGGTTTTCTTTAATAGTGTTATATAGTAACTGTATAAAAACAGTAAAAATGGTAAGAAAGTATAAAATATTTACAACGTGAAGAACGTTTTGCAATATTTTAGTCATCAATTATGTTAACGATTTGTGAATAATCTGGAAATGTTCGAACCGTTGTTCTTGTCGCACGTGTGCCTTGATCACATGAAATTATTGTTCAGGTGTCACTCAACCCTATTAGAATTCTGAAAAATGAGGCGGAAGAAGAAAAAGCCGAAGTGGCTCGTATGTCCAGCTTCATCGGTGCCATTGCTATTGGTGATTTGGTGAAAAGTACCCTTGGTCCTAAGGGTATGGACAAAATATTGGTATCCTGTGGCAGAAATAGTGGCCAGGTGAATATATTTTACTGAAATTTAATTTTTTTTTTAATGAACTGTTATGTTATTCATACTCAAGTAAACTTATAGACAAGTATCAGGTCTAAAAATTAAATTCTTATTTAGGTTGAGGTTACGAATGACGGTGCTACTATTTTGAAGTCCATTGGTGTTGATAACCCAGCAGCCAAGATTTTGGTTGATATGTCAAAAGTGCAGGATGATGAAGTTGGAGATGGCACCACATCTGTTACAGTTTTGGGTAATGACTCTTGTTTTTTTTTACTTCTACTGCTTAAATATTGAAAACTGCTTTTAACTCGTCGAGTACCGGTTTTGTAGACACAATTATAGAACAATAGGTTGCGGTCACCGGTGACCGCTTGGTGTTTGACAGTTTAAAATGATAGTATAAATATAGTTATAGATAAACTAGTTTTTAATCTTTTGAAATAGTTGATTACATATCAGATATTAACATGAATTAACCATTTTAGCTGCTGAACTTCTCCGTGAAGCTGAGAAGCTCATTGAACAGAAGCTTCACCCCCAGACTGTGATCGCTGGATGGCGTATTGCTGTAGATGCTGCTAAACAAGCTCTTGCCGACTCTAGCTTTGACCACGAAAAGAATTTCAATGAAGCTGCTCTCCGGGCTGACCTTGAGAACATTGCTCGCACCACATTAAGTTCTAAAATCCTGTCAAATCACAAAGAGTAAGTGATTTTCTATTATGTATGTCTTGTTACTTCTGTAAACTATAATCATTATATAGTTAAAAAAACTTATATGGCACATTGATTTCATCAATAAGTATAAGTTTATAAATTCTTTGTACCTATTGCTTGTTATTCAAGGACTGTATAAAACTGGGTAAAGAAATTTGAAAAAAAAATATTACACATAAATAAAGCTGGTGATTTGGTTACTTAAATTTACTTTTATATTATTTCAGACACTTCACAAAGTTGGCTGTAGATGCAGTGCTCCGTCTTAAGGGCTCTGGCAACTTGAAAGCTATCCAGATTATCAAGATCTCGGGTGGTCTCCTGGAGGAATCTTTCCTTGATGAAGGTTTCCTATTGAACAAAAAGGTGCATACAATATTTAAGTTATTATTTAAATTGAGTGCTTAATATTATTTACTGTTTGTTTTGCATTTTCTCTCCTAAAAGTGTAGATGTTGTGGTTAATTTGATTATGTAAAATTACAAAAATTCCTAAATAACCACAGAATGATGTAGCTATTGAATCTATTGCATTATATTGGAATTATAATTGAAGATACAATATTGCAATCTATTGAAGAGAAAGACTGCACTCTCAAGAACTCAGAAGCTTCTATCAAACTAACGACAAAATTCCTGTTGCAGGTGGGTGTACATCAACCTAAGCGCATTGAGAATGCCAACATCCTCATAGCCAACACTCCAATGGACACAGACAAGATCAAAGTGTTTGGTTCCACTATCAAAGTAGACTCTATGGCCAAGATAGCAGAACTTGAAGTAGCTGAGAAGGAAAAGATGAAGGACAAAGTTAACAAGATCTTGGCTCACAAGTGCAATGTGTTCATCAACAGGTAAATTATTTTTTGAAAAGGGTAGACAACTAATTTTTTTTTTGATGTCCGTCTGGTAGATTATTTAAAAACATTAGATACATATATCTTATTTTCTTACGGAATCGAATAGTTTGAAATGTCGCGTGACATCACTTCTTAGTTAATATATAATATAATAATAAAAAATATGTGTCTAATATTTTTTCATTACCTAACTTACAGACTAATTCAATTTTTAATTTTCATACTCTGTCATCATCCCCATTGTTTAGTCTTTTAAGTTAAGATTTGTTTTGTCAGTAGGTCTGTCTAGAAAGTTCCATGTTCCATCATATCCCACAGAGACTATAATTATTAAACTTAGCTATAAGAAGTTATAATTTAGATAACTTACCACATACAAAGATATTAAAATTTTACAAACCCCATATTTATGTGGAAACTGAAATGAAATTAAGAGTACTAAAGTCTGCTAAACTGACTAAATTAATCATAAGGCCTTTGGCACTTGTCACTTGTTTGAACCTCAAGAACAGAAATCCATTTACATTAAATTGCTAGCTCTGATTTTTTAGTGGTTGGTAAATGGAGATGGCAGATGCAGTGTTATGATTTTGTATTTCTTTCTTTTCACCAGACAACTTATCTACAACTACCCTGAGCAGTTGTTCGCTGATGCCGGCGTGATGGCTATCGAGCATGCCGATTTCGACGGTATTGAGCGACTCGCGCTCGTCACTGGAGGAGAAATCGTGTCCACTTTCGACTCACCCGACAAAGTCAAACTGGGACACTGCAAGGTTATTGAACAGGTAAAATTGACATGATTATGTTATGTTATGTAAATTGCATCATTTTTGTTAAAGAAGTACTTGATCATGTTTATTGTCTATTTCCAGGTATTGATTGGTGATGAGTGTCTGATCCGTTTCTCTGGAGTAGAGCTGGGTTCTGCTTGCACTATTGTGATCCGTGGTGCCACACAGCAAGTCATTGATGAGGCTGAACGATCTCTGCACGACGCGCTTTGCGTACTTGCCGCCACTGTCAAGGAACCTAAAGTGGTTTATGGTGGAGGTAATTAGTACTTTTTAACTTAGTAAAATTTCTTAAAATACATTTCACTCATGCGTCGGAATACAACGCAATGGTTGATTCACACTTGTTTCCTGTGAGACTGGTATGACTGTATAGTTGAGTTGCTTTATTCGTACTGAAGCATGGCTCTCCCTCTCTCATGACCATGGTTTTGCCCTAAGAGTAAAATAGTTGATTTATTAGTTTTCAAACTTTTGAGAATGTTATACAACCTTGATCTAATGGTCTGGACATATTTATGTTCACATTAATTATTTAATTTTTATATTTAACACAGGTGCTAGCGAGATGTTGATGGCGGAAGCCGTGTCTCGTATGGCAGCCCGCACTGCTGGTAAGGAGTCTGCAGCGGCCGAGGCATTCGCCGTGGCCCTGCGCCGCCTGCCTTCTGCTGTCGCCGACAACGCTGGTTACGACTCCGCTGATCTCATCTCACGGCTCCGCGCTCACCACGCTCAGGGAGAAACCACCATGGGTCTTGGTGAGTCATAATAAAAATAATAAAAAAAATAAATATGTGATCATACTAAGTCATAAAAGTGTGAGTATTCACATTTTTGAATGGTGGTTTATTTATTTATTATTTATTTGGACATCCAGTTGTTGCTACATTTTTATCATTAACTTAAAATTAGGAATTAACATCTTACTGCTAATGCACAACATTTGAAGGACATGCGTTGAGTTTAGTATGGTGTAAACACACTAGATGTTGTCAGGCCTGGAAATTTAGTAACTTTTATTGCACCTTTAAAGCTACCTATGAAATCTTCCCTCTTTTGTGATGGCAACTGAAATGTATAACTTCTGCCCGCGACTTCGTACGCGCAATCCCGTTTCCGTAGGATTTTTGGGAAATCCTAGGATAAAAAGTATCCTTTGTTTGTTTCCTGGGTCTAAGCTACCTTCCAAATCGATTTAGCCGTTCTTGAGTTATAAATAGTGTAACTAATACGACTTTCTTTTATATGTACAGATGTGTAAATATGATATTAGGTTATGATAAAAATATGAAGTCAATTAATTTATGTGTATTTCACAGACATGCAAAACGGCCGCGTAGGAGACATGAAGAAACTGGGTATCACAGAGTCTTACGTAGTGAAGCGTCAGGTGCTGCTGTCTGCTTCCGAAGCAGCTGAGATGATCCTCCGTGTCGACAACATCTTGAAGTCGGCGCCGCGTCGCCGTGGCCCAGACCGTCGTCCATGCTAAATCATTCTGTATATTCGAGCACTAGTAATTGTAAATGGAAGTGGGTGACCAAACATACCAGGAATACTGACTAGTATAATTAAATGTGCTTATATTGCATTTATTTGACTACAGACTGGAATAAATATCACAATATGGTGCACGTAAATTTTACTTGTAACCACTTCTGTTTATTTTTATCGTATTAATTGCACTTGTGCAGTGTGAGAATGCTTGTCTGTACCAACTTATCAAATAACTAAGTTTAGCTTTACCAGTTTAGCCTTAAGTCAGGGAAGATTGAATTTCTTTTAGAAACAATCTCTAAGATGACTCACAAAGTTATATTTAATGATGAAACATACTGTATTAATATTGTATGTGTGTAACAAATAAGTATTTTGAGTTTGAAAAGTGACTTCTATTATTGATATGGCCCCATTTGGTTTGAATCTTGTAATGTCCCTACATCTAGCTAGTCTAGATGTACTCAGCTGCGCTAGTTACTTCTAATAGTAATCTTTAGTTCATGTGGCCTTAATGCCTTGATAATGATGTATTAACTATTAATTTAATAAAATTTTAACAACACAAGTTATGTTTTTTATTTACATAGATAAACATTGCTGATACTGACCTGCATTATTTTGTAGTATATTCATATTATTATCATCATTGCTTGCTTAATTTGTAAGTGAGCCGTTGTGTACCCGTAGTGCCGTAGTGTGTGCGATAGATTAATCTCATTCATCGTGTTCTTCAAGACCTCGCATTTTACCTAGTAAGATGACCATTTCAGTGCTTTTGTCAGCGATGAATATTATATTTGTAACGATATTTTTAGTTCTACGTAAGGTATGTATAAATAATGCTATGTCACATAATATTTATTAATGATTTGCTATTTTTAAAATTGTATAGAATTGAACCATCCGGGATCCCGTAAAGCATTCGTACTTGCGAGCTCTAGTCCAATGAGGGAACTTCTTTTTAGGAAGTTGAAGAGTTGGTGTGCACCAACTCTTCAACTTTAACTTAAACAACACCGAATTTTTGACGTTGTCGATGATGCTATCGACAACATCAAAAATTCGGTGTCAATTATGAAATTAGGTACTGCATTTTCTTTCTTGATTGTAATCAAGCCCAAACACAAGGTACCGTTGAGGACTCTCCTTAACAATTACACTTCATCATCAGACCCTTAATGGCAGTCCCACTCCATCTAGGTGTAAATTTCTCTTGAATACAAATAATCAAGCAAAACAACACAAGGTAGTCACTATAAACCGTTCAGGAGTTCTATCGACTGTGTCGACTCCATCATCAGGTCGACTCTAGACCCTTATCAACCCGAGCGTACGCGTACGGCGCGTCGCGTTCCGCGCGCGTCTCAAAGAGCCATCAGACCACCACAGATGGGGCCCAATAGGGCTGTTGCCGATTCGGAGTCGCGGAGAACCTAACGGGTAACCGGGGCTCCGGCTTGACGTGCAGGAGAAGGAACGGGGTGGTCTTTAGTCAGTAAGAGTCTGACACTCCCTTCCGTCTCACCCAGACGGGAGCAGTTATTCGATGATTTTCCCGCCTTAAAAAAAAGACCCTTATCAAATTATAGTATCTAAAAATTGTTATTGAAAAACAATAGACGCATTATTCGCCCCTACAATTTTCGAAAGTTCTCCTCGGTTTTTCTAGGATTCCATCATCAGATCCCGAACTCATGAAAATGGGACCCTCTCGGGAGTATAACCTTTCAACAAACAAAACAAGAATTTTAGAAATCGGTTCACAAATAGCGGAGTACCTAATCGGTGGCCAATAAAAAAAACAGCCGAACATAGTACCTCCTCCTTTTTTCGAAGCCGGTAAAAATAGCCTCACACTTAGATTTTCTTTGTACCTATACGTACACGTGACGTCGCGGAGAACCTAACGGGTAACCGGGGCTCCGGCTCGACGTGCAGGAGAAGGAACGGGGTGGTTTTTAGTCAGTAAGAGTCTGACACTCCCTCCCGCCTCACCCAGGCGGGACCAGGAATTCGATGATTTTCCCCCCTTAAAAAAAATGTAAGTACACGTGACATCTAGATCCGAAACATCAATTTATGGCTCTCGGACAAGAATCGTGCCGTGGGGGAATCGAATTCGCGATACGTTAAACAGCAACCGCAACACCCAGCTACTGCACAAACTGGAGACAACGTTCAGCAATGAACGTAACCTTTGTGGCTGACATGGTGATGAGAGTACCTTTTTACTTACCTAGCTATAACCTATACCTGTCTAAATATAGTCCCCACTGTCCATACCAATTTAAAATGACACGGTTAACAGAACTTATGAATATTGAAAGCATTACGAGTTTAAATCAGTTTAACAAATATCGCGGCCTACTTACCTGTGTGTTCAGCTGAAACCAATTTGTTACCAACTTTGACATGCGATGCTTGAACGGTGCCCACTTAATATTATTATATGCACTAACCATAGTTACCTTTACCTACTTATAAAGTGGGTTTGAAATACTTATGAGCTATTTGTGAAGAAATAAACTTACAATTTCATCGAAAGAGGAACTATATTGTTGTTGCGTATGGTTTAGGTACCTACATAATATATATATTATTATCTCATACTGCCTCGTTGGCCGTGGTCCGTGGTCGCAAGTGCGAGTGCTGGGCAAGGGCTCTCGGGTTCGATTCCCGGGTCGAGCAAAGTATTACTGGGTAAAAAATTCTCAGTGGCAGTATTCTGGAATTCTGTCCAGTATATGGCAATAGGCTATAGGCCAATTACATGGGACTCATAACATAAATAGTAAAAAGTGGGTGTCATATTGTACAGTGGCTTTATGTGCCGTAATGTGCACCTCTTCGGGGATTAAGGGCGTGATGTTATGTTGTTGTATATCTCATACATAAGTAGTACCTACCTACAATTATACATACGTAGATACAGTTGTGCTTATGTTAGATGTTAATCACAAAAATCCATTAGCGTTTTATTTGCCCGACGACGCGGGTATCGAGCCCATGACTTTACACAGCAAGTATCCGACATTTCATAATCTTTCCTAAATGTAGGTATAGGTATAGGTACCTTTTGAAAATTGCTTGTAACATGATATGTTAAAATAATTACAAAATAATGTTGATACGAATTCGTAGTTCCAACGTACAATAGATAGTTCTTATGTAGGTATTTACTACTTTTAAACTTCCTTACAAACGAAATGAAATTCTTTTTCGCGAGATATCTTCGGCTATCTGACCTGGGACTGTAATGGAATTTTCCTTTATTATTTGATTTACCTGCTTCTTCAATTTTATGGCAGTGCAATAGTGTTATCCTCTGTACAGAACCTGTACCCTTTTAAATTATAGGTTTTCGTAGAAATGGTTGTTGGAGATGAAAATCAGCACCTATAATTTTTCAGAATACAGTGATTTCTTCAAATACATTGATATGGTTCGATAATATAATTTTAGATTCATCTTTACGTACCGCTACTTATAGAGTCTTGCAATGTAAAGTTTTGAATTTCGACTTATCTTAACTAATAACTTAGGTATCGTTGTAATTTTATACTAGACCTATATACACACGTGCTGCTAGGTTACGTGGAAGACGTTGGTTAAGTTAATAAAGGCAAAGATTTTCTAATTCAAGTTACAAAAATTATTTGTTTAGATACCTAATCTTAATTATCATCAGTTGAATGAAAGTTCTTGGCATATACTAAAATGTTAACGCGGCTTTACACCATTCTATTTCAACTTGTGTAGAAACAGACACCGAATTATAATTTTGCCGCATTTGAATAGTTGCTGAACATGCGATAGTTGTTTATGGAAAAGCCAATTCAAATAATGCTATAATTATGAGCCATTTCGTTTCCACAGAAACTAATAAAGCTCACTGTTTGTATGTCGGCTACAAGAAAGCATTTAATTTTCTGTTTTGCATAATTAGTGAAGTTAAATAAAGCTCTTATCTGCAAACCTAAATGAAAATAATATTCAAAACAGTTAGACGTAGTAGTGTATACAGATGGATAGCACAATTTATCTCTTTCTTAGTAGTGTTCAAGTTGATGAACAGCAGTGATGACGAGCAATACTCCTAAACTTAACAACTGACAGAGATGTTGTACGAGCAACGAGCACATAAACAGGATTGCTTACAAATTGACTCTGAAAACGGCAAACATAAATAGTACCCTTCTCTACTGTTACAATTTTTTCTGGAGTAAATCGGTGTGAGCGCGACGCGAAACTGACAGCTCGTTCATTTTTAACTCTCGCCCCTGCTTCCACGTTGGAGGCGACAATTTGGATAAATGGTAGATCCGCCGCCGACCGACTAAATTATTCAGGCTGTTCCTAGCTTCGCTTCTTCACATGACAAGGAGAGGATTGCACAATAAAGTGGAATATTTAGAGAGTAATCACGTACACAACATAGGAACTTAGAGTGGCAGTGTGGCACCATCCTTCCTGCCCCGACCGAGCGACGCCTGCCTTTTGCAATGGTATTTCTATTCGTCTCATAAATCTCGACACCATGAAAATTACGAAAATATGGCACATCTAATTCATGAAATTAGATGTGCCATATTTTATTTCACTACAATATACTTATTTTTTACGTTTCAGCATTTTCTTCAAAGCACCATTCAGCTGAAGACAGCGATAATTTAGCATTTGAATGGAGCAAGGTTCTTCCAAACAATAGTTGCCTAAATAAGTTCATGGCATTTCATTAAAAGGCAGACGTTGAAAAACTAGGCATCCGAATGAATAATGTTAACTAATGACGAATGTTTGCAGTTGTTGAAATGTTCGCGAATGCCACACAGGCCGCTCGGCAAAAAATAAACTGCAATGTAATTGCGGGCCGGAATGAAGTTATAAGCCTCTCCCCACTTCGGCCAGAAAAATATATTCGCCGAGAATGATAATTAAATATTAAAAAGTTTGTTATCATATATCATTGTTGTTAATTGAATGGATGTGAATTCATGCACGATATCCCATAAGGGGTGAGCAAAGTGATACATCATGATGTAAATCTTTTATAGGTGTTGTGTCCAGGGGTGAGCGGAAAATTCAATGAGTGCAAACAGTAGGTAGCACCGGTTATGAATTGAGTCGTAATCACGTTCAAAGCACTTATAATTTGATCTTTTTGCTTTGATTCATTTATTGTAGGTGGTACTCGTGAGTAGTCTAAGAATCAAACTATAGTAAAAGTGTCACCGATTTATTGGTCACCCTAGGCCACATTTAATATTTGTGTATTTAGGATAAGCACAATTAACTAGTTTGCAAATTTTATAGAACCCTTAAAATATCCAAATTGCTGAAACTATTATTAATTCACACACTACTCTATTGTTTAAACTAAACCGAACGATTTCCGATTACCGTTCGCATCGCTGACCAAAATGTAGATACCGCTCAGTAATCAGCTTACGTCATAAGCCAAAACGAACGCAAAGATTAAGCGTTAATAGGATGATAACTATCTAAATTAAAGTTAAATCCAATAACCCCATTCATCAGGTAGCAGTTAAGTAATTCAACCCAGTT